GACAATCTAGTTCACGCTGAAGATCAGCAATCGCATTACTGTTGTCAACAATATTACGCTTGTTCGCAATAACATCATTATATACGTCAGACAGATACACGGAAGGACCATAAATAAATAAGCCATTTTCAGACCCTAGTGGCAGATTGGAAACTTTTGATCTCTTAGCTTCATGGATTGGTTTGTTTACGGCAGCAATAACGTTACTCATTTTAAGGCTACAAGGCACGGACATGAAGAAACAAAAATTTATTGTCTGACAATAAAATAGCAAGATGAGAGACTTACCTGCAACACAGATTAGAGTTATTGGTTGTCTGTCAACCTCAGCTTACGCGGAAACTGGTAGACAAAACGGCAAGATGCTACAACTTCCCGTCAAATAGCGAAGAACCCTGAAGTCCAGACCAAAGTTCACGTATTAATGAAAACCAAAGATATACAACCAATAGTTGCGGAGAAAATGACAGCAACAGTTGGCGGATAACGTATATGTTTAGAAGCTTTAATTTGCAGGCGGAAAGTGTAACTGTATCGTAGCCAGACTGCCAAAATTCGAAAGCACGAGGAAACTACAAAAGATGTAACGCACGCTTCAAAAGGTGTATCATATCTTTGAGGGGTGAGGAAACTGTTTTGTTAGATGAACGCACGTACAGATACTTCGTTTCCATTGAACAGTAGCTGGCCATGAGTTTTCGCATACCTGATATTTGTTGTACCCAATAATGATTCCCTTCACGCCGGTTCGTTCAATCAAACCAAATGGCATCGCTTAATTAGACTTTTATTTCCTTAGTCCGAGTGCATTTTGGGGTATTTCTTGATCATCGGTAGGGTTTATTCTTTCGCTGATGTTCATTTATTTGTCCTTTGGGTTCCAAGTGGAACACACAGCTTCAGTAGCAAGCCTCTACTGCACTCTGTTCTGTGCAGTCTTTTCAACCCGACTCAACTTCTGCCCACAGGCTTTTTTTCTTCCCTGCATAATCTCATCCATGTCAACCTCCTCTCGGCTTTTGAGTGCATACTCAATAATCCACTCCGACATTGTCACCCAGGGACAACCGCGGGCACACTGAGTTTTTGAGTAGTCATCTTGAAGTCCACTGGATCATCGAAATTTTTCACGGAGTGGGAGCTAACCTCCTGCTGCAGGATCAGGATCATGACAGCAAGGTCCAACTCAGAAGGGGGAAAGTCACAATGGTATGATGCTACACTATGCACCTACAAATAATGCAGATCCGATGGAGTTGGAGGAATTCTACAGACAACTGCAATCAGCACTGGAAGAGGCCGCACCCAAGTTGGTGACATCAAAATTATAACGGGTGGGGCGACGTGAATACCGAATTGGGAGCAGACAACACAGGGAAAGAACTGATCATGGGTCGAGAATCACTCGGTGAAATGATGAGTGAGAATGGAGAACTGTTTGAAGAATTCTGTGCATTCAACGATTTGATGATTGGAGGCAGTGTGTTCAAGTACAACGATATTCACAAAGCTAGCGACATGGATTTCACCAGACACCAGGACACACTAAAAATCAGATCGACTTCATCTCAATGTGAAGGAAGTGGAGACGCAGCCCACTTGACACTAGGTCAAGAAGAGGGATGGATGTGGACTGTCTACTAGCACCCATGATATTCCTGATTGTAGTGGACTGGATCATGCAACAAGCTGTGAGGAGCGAGAAGATGGACATACGCTGGCTGGACCGATGAAAAGACCGCAGAAGAAGATTTAGATTTCGCCAATAACTTGTGTCTGATGTCACACAAACTTGAAGGTCTACAGGTGTAAACTAACAAGTTGACAGAAGAGGTGAGGCAGGGCAGCGAAGACGGGACTTCTAGTGGACGTGGAGAAGACAGAGGTGATGAAGATACCCAACCAACACCAACACCAACGCCACCAGCAACAACAACAGAAAGCTCCAATCACCACCAACGGGAGAAACCTAAAGGAAGTAGACTCTCTCACCCATCTAGGCAGCACTGTTTCAACTACAGGCGGTGGCACAGACGAGAGCGTCAAAGCCAGCCAGTATCGAAAACACAGCAAGACAGGTGTTCATTAACCTGAAACCAGTGTGGAGATCTACTGCACTTCACTCAGCATGTGGAACAAGATCCGGATTTTCAACACCAACGTCAAGTCAGTGCTCCTACATTGTTCAGAAACTTGGTGCGTTACGAAAGGGATTTCCAACAAACTACAGACATCCATCAACAACTGCCATCGACGCTCGTTACTGAAGATCAGATGGCCAGAATAATAGGAATAAGCAACAAGGAACTCTGGCATGCAAAGAACCAACCAAGAACCTATCACTCAACAAATATGTAGAAGCAAGTGGAGATGGATTGGATTGAGCATACACTGAGAAGGCCGACTGGGGACAGACACCACGCACCATGCCAGGCTGGCGAGTGGAACTCAGATGGGAAACGACGAGTTGGGCGTCGGAGGCGAGAGTGACATGGAGGAGATGGTGTGAGGAAGAAATGAGAGCTTCTAGGCAGTCGCGGAGCCAGGTTCAAAAGTTTGCAGAGAAGGGAGTGCAATGGAGACGTGCTACTGAAGCCGTATGTTCCACTAGGAGCCCAAGGGACAAATAATAATAATAATTATAGCCGTGCGAAGTTCGCTTTCTGCAGTTGCGGAAGGTTGGGAGATATCACGGTGATCTCAATTGTTACAATCTGCCGGGAGAAATGCAGATAGAACCAGGAGTATAGTAATAGAAGAATGTTCGGCTTAAACGTTCGCGATGAGAGCAACTTTCTCCACTTCATGTACACCGTCTCTTTTCTTACACATCAAAGGGCATCCGGTAAGAAGGCAAACTTCGGAAGGCCACATTGTCGTAGAACACTTTCAATATCCCAGACTTCATCCCGCTCTGAAGGAAGTGGTGAAAAAGAGAAACACGGTGAATTACTGATCCTTCGGTGTCGCTTTTCTGAGACTTTTTCAGATAACCACGCAGGGTCATGGACAGGCTAACATAGGTCGTGGCCGCCAGATCAGCCAACTTCATACGTGGGGCAGGCATTGCACTAAGACGCTGGCTTTCGCGGCTATACTAACTGTCTGGTTGAAGTTTCCCGCAAACACTTGCAACCGCAGTCAAGATTTGGTGATGCACCGCTGCTGTCGTTTTGGAAGGTGTTTGTGGGAAAGTGGAAACACCCTGAACTGGGCCCAAATGATAGGTTGGTAAGGCCACAAATATATGAATATGAAGCGATTCGCGCTTTCCCATTCCAAGTTTTCTTCATCTGATTAGGTACCTAATGGCCTTCAGGTGAATATATATAGACTTAGCACGCACGTGGTGGACGTCGTTAACAAGAACTGTCGCCGAGCTCCCGTGCTCAAACAATACCAACTAATCCAGGACACCTGTCGGACATATCTCAAAATGTGAAAAACCCCCACCATCGGCGTAACCGTCAATAATGGCAGCATGACTCAACCGAAGAATAAGTTTGGCCAACTCCCAGTATCTTATTGTTTTTTGAAGAAACGAAGCTGTGCTGCCACGAAAATTACTGTCCAGTTAGAACTACCAGTCGAATTGACACACTTGGCACTCTCACAGTATGAACAGTTGTCTGTACTAGAATTCCTGGTCGGTCACAATAGCAGCGAAGAGAGAGAGGCAGATAGCATGGTTCTCTGCCATTTTATATGCCTTTCAGATGCCATGTCATTTATTTATTTGTCTCGCCCAGTCCCATGCAAGCCAACTGCAGATACATGACAAATATTATGACTTTACCGCTCCAGCTTCCTTCTATAAGGACAATAAATTTCTTATTCGGCACATTTTATGGAAAACAATCCACTTTACAGGTATGATCAGTATGGTAACATGAACAAGTTCAATAAAACCCAGTATATCAGAAACCACCATTTAAGGCATATGAGATGAATTTGAAAACAAAATGTTTACGTTTTGCAGAAAACAAAGAATGAAATGGCTAAGCACCAGCATCACTGTTCGATAGAATAAAGCAAGTTATTTCGAAATTATCCATCGATTATTTGGACCATCAAAATACCTTCGGAGATGGCGTGGGTGGCACGATCATGACCTTGAGTCTTACGCGTTTCGTCAGGCAGCACGCCTTTGAAAGTGCAGTTCTTAAGAATGGACGCTTTTCGTCGACTTGAACACATATAGTTAAAATAACTGGTGTGACTGCTTCTTCATGCATCCATAATACTGGCGAGATCTGATTCCAAAGCAATCATAGCTTACCCGTACCTCAATTTATGCAAACGAAGGATTTCCGATTTTGTGAACAATGTCTTTCGTATCCCATAGTCATAGCTACAGCCAGTCTATCAACATCTTTTTCAGTATTGCAGGTGATGGTACTCTTAATTGGTCTCTGATAAGCTCACTTACTGCATCACTTTAAACTCATCGCTATAGCAGCAATCTTCAGCCATCCCTCGCCTATCTCACAGTTAGTACTCAGCGGTAAAAGAATAAAACCCATCTACGATGATTCAGACGCTGTGATCTTCCAGGTGAGGTTATGGATATACGCAGGTCTTTTACGTCTACAGGTCCTTCATTGAAAGCCCAGAGGTTTTGTCCGATGTTAGCTCTCTCTCTGCATTAACTTGTGATTTACGTGTGTGTAGAGTACCAAGTTTTATTAACTATCACAGACGAAAAAAAGTAATACTAGGCGTGAGAGATTAAAAAATATCAGTTTTCAACGCTCTCACTATCCATGTTGGAATGTTGGAATCTCACTGTATAAAATACTGCATCATCTTTGAATACAAGAATAGACTGGCAAAATGAATTGAGCGGTGGCTCTTTCTTTTCTTGCAGATGCTGAAAAAAAATACTAATATTAAGTTCCAGGGTTGATTTGATTTTTGCACTAGTGTTTAATTGAATGAAATGAACTCTCAGGAGAGTAAACAATTTAAAAAGTTTTGGCGTTACCATAACAACCCATAAGATGAGTGAAACATTGCGATTGATTACGCAGAAACTAAATGGCGAACCATTTAATAGAAATTTCAATTTAATATCATTCGATTCACTAGAGCCGGTGCATCTTCTACAACTACTTAATGACGTTATTGGTGAAATCGATCCAAAGGTAAAATTGGAAGTACAATTCTTTTTTCTTTGAAGCATAAAATTGATATCCGAGAAGAGTCTTCAGATCAAACAGCCATAAGGTTGTTCGAAGCAATGCGAATACTCGGTTATAAACTGCCGACTGATCAAGAAACTCTGTAAGTTAAAGTATATTTGTTTAAGGATTCAACTATAATAGAAGTATTTTCCGCCAAGGTTTAGTGACAGGAGACAAAATGATCATCTACCCCTTGCTGGAGTGGCTGCTCAGCAGAATCCCCGGACTTAAGAAACGAGCTTACTTGGCTAGATTTTTGGTTAAGATACCAATACCCCCGGAATTCATGCAAGATGAGGAAATATCAAACCTTTATCACCAGGTATGCTCAGTTTATAAGTATCAGCATTTGTTGCAGTATGAGAGCATAATTGAAAACTTCAAGGAATCCCATAAGAAACTTGACAGCTTAAGGGATGGTGGATTAACGACAGCAGAAATTAAGAAAGACATATCAGCAATGCAAGACGAAAAAGATCAACTTTTTAGTCGGGTTGAGAGAATGAAAAAGAAGGTAATATTCCTCTTTCTAGATAATGGTACTTGTTGACCTGATGTTTCCATTACATTTCAAAATAGAAAGGGCTTTTTGTTGAGTTATGAGGCACAATTCCTGTTTTTGTTCAGTTTTGGTATGGTAAGGCATCAAAGGTTTCACTGGATTTTCTTAAGTCGGTGAATTTTATTGTTTAGTTTGAATGCGTTTGTAGACGTTGTGGTACTTCAGAAGAATACTCAACTTATGTTTTGAGGGTAGACCACTTGAAAGCTATGCTTTTCATGCAACCAAATTCGGATTGAGATTCGTTGTTTAAAGATAGAAGACTGTGACTTTATGATAATCCTTTTCTAGTAGATTTCTGTGCTTGTACAATCCCTTTTCGAATGAGTTACTTGTTGATGTGGACATCATTTCTTCTGGGAGTCGGTTCCATGAGTTGATTACTCGATACAAGAACCAGTACTCTGCGTGGACTGTTCGTCCTTTGCTTTTGTAGCCTCATACTATGTTCTCTGAAGTGCTCCAATCAGGTGGAAAGAAAAAGAAGATAGATCAGGTCCGTGGTCATTTCCTAGAAACCCTTTTAACACGATTAGATCTTCCCTGCGTCTGAGATAGCTTAAAAAGAAGAGGTGAGGCCAGCCATCGCAGAGATCATATGAATGGCTGACCACTGAACTCTTTCTATAAGGTCTGCGTCACCTTCCAGACAAGGATTTTCTGTCTATATACACTTTTCTAATTTTGAGCTAATAAAGATGTGTATAAGACGGTGAACATATCATCATTTATTTTTGTAAGCATTCTACGTAATGCACAAAGTAACCTAAAACTCCGAGCTTCTAACCAACAGTGAGCACTGGTTTTCAAATCCTAACTCACCGTGACTCCCTGGTTACTGTGTGTCAGTACTGACGGCAAAGGAGTCCCATCAATATCGTATGGCCATGCGTGTGCTTGAAACAGACCTCACTATCTTAGATGTATTAGCTCTTCAACATCTTCCTGGTTCTGAATATATATCGTTAATCTTTTTTCCTCGGTTTGCAGTCCTCTTATTGATTTTGACATCATCCTATTTCAGTAGATTTCCTCGAGGAGCTGTTTTGAAGTAAAACGCCATGCTTTTCAGTGAATTTCTAAGCTGGTCTGTCTGTATGTCTGAATTATATATATATATATATATATATATATATATATATATATATATATATATATATATATATACTTTACTTAGTAAGTGTACTAAGTTTTATGTTATATCCTGGATTACTAGATTTTAAAGGCAATGAAGTATGAAAAGAGATATATTGACTTGTTCTCATGCCTGGTTGTACTTCTGTTTTGCGCAGAGTGACTCATGGTAGGTTGTGCAATATTTTGTGACTAAGTATTGTTTTTAAACCACCCTCAAGAATAAATCATAGTGAAAAATGTACAACTATTCTCTTGTAAGAGGTTATAGCATCTTAATCAGACAGACTAAATGGGTCTTAAATGTATTACAGGAATGTGAATATATATTCGCTTTTCTGTGTAACAATTCTGAGATCGAGTTTCATTATTTGGCTAAATGACTTTATAATTCCTAACGTAAAACAGAATAGATGAAGCATCCACGTTGTAATAACTGATATCAGTGAGCACCTAACAATTACTAGTTTTAATTATATTATGAAAAGATTTTCTCAAACAGTCGCAACTCTAATTCATCTTTGACAAAACGTTTCTACATTGATTCTTCAAACTCATCATCACTGAAATAATTCTTATCATTGGTGGCAGTCATTTATTGTTTTACTTAAAACGAAGATTGTTTTATAATTTCTTTTCCTCTCATAGCTAGAAGTCTTCCCGACTAGTTATAATATGCTTGAAATGGCCAAAAAATTACGTCTGGAAAGAGAAAAGAAGCAAAAATATCAAGACAAATGAAAGAGCAAAAATCACTGGTAAATTATTATTATTTTTTCTACTGGAATTCCCATAAGTGACAGTTATTATTCAGGTGCATGGTTGATATATGTAATACGTTCCAAAGATCTGACACCTCTGAGCTACTCAGTCAGCTGCCTTAAGCAGTTCATTACTCCTTCAAGTCAATGAAGATTTCGGTGGTAGTAATAGAGGATATATTCTTTAAAACTATATATTACATTCCATATGACAGTTTCATGCCATTCTTTATCTCTATGAGGTTCTTAATGTTTTTATTAATGTAACAATAAAACTTGGACACTGTGGTTGAGTATAACCCCATATTCGATTATTTATTCGATATAGCACGCAGTGATACAGTGCAATCTACTGTATGATGTTTCGAGCAGAATTTATTGTTCGGATTCTTGTGTTTGGTTGTGTTTGTTTTCTTGAACAAAAAGTCACGAAGGAGGAGCACATCCAATATAACAGTTGAACATTGGGGTAGTTATTCTAATAATAAACCACATCCACAGGAGACAGTAAGTCAGTACCAACTTTGCAGAATCATATGTATTTTCTGGTAGCCTTTTGGTAAATGACGGATTTTATCGTCTTGGTGGAGTACAAAATAGTCGAACACTGTGGGTTACGTTGCTTAAAGCAAATCCTAGAATTTGTACTGGTTGTCATTCACTCACTGTCATGTCATATTTTACTGTTCATTTTGACTCTTCCATTTTGGTTGAATTTCTCCTGGTATATGTTTTATCGCAAGTTGTGACATTATTGACAGACATACTTATATGCAACATTCTGTGTTATTTGTTGAAGTGTTTGTGAAGCGTTCATAACCAGACGGTGGGGCCGGTGTCAGTGGTGAAAAATTCACTTGAAAGTTTCGTCGTTGGTCGTATAATTAACAGTCCAAGAGTAACTGAACATCATTAAAGTCTCATGGGTTGTTGTTTTCAGAATGAATGACTTCAAAGACCACTCTGATGACTACTGAAATGACTAATTAGGTATTTTTAATTTGGCTGAAAATTTAGTTTTTGTAAAATTAAAAAAAATCTAAATTGACTATTTCAGTAATTTTTATGGTGGCCTTTAAAGTCAATCGTTCGTAATTGACTCTACTGCCACAAACTTCACATCAGATGACTCAGAGTGAAAAGAGATTATTCTGCCGAATCCAAACTGAGTCATAATATAGTTTAAAAATACATGGGAAATGTACAAGGGCTAGAAAGCGTAAACGCCTTGGTCTCACTGCTGATAAGTGAAGCTAAGCTTACTGCTGACTGATCAGTTGCTTTTCTTATTCTTCTGTTGTAAGGATATAACAGTAATGTGACGTACATTTATAAACTGATCTGAATTATAAGCGAGTGCACCTCTGCAAATGACTTAGTTAATGAGTGAATAAATAAACTGTAGATGTAATCTAGCGTCATGTTGCTTGGCGAAAACTGTGAAATTACCATGGTTTCCTGCATTACTCATTAAACTACCACTGGTAATTGTAAAAGTATGATATTTCCAAAGATCGATGTATTTGTAACACACATAAGCACGCTAAAGAATAACAAGTTAACTTATTTTTTTGACTTGTAAATGTTACTTGTAGTGATGGAATTTGATTCGGGAGCTTGTAAAATTTATAGCTATATATATCTTTCAGTAAAGAATGCTAAATTGTAGGTGTTAAGTTTCAATAACCTGAACATTTAATAGACGTTTCAGCTGACTGTCATTTTCAGATATCACTGAAAGAATTTTTCTACCATTTATTTTTTAAAGCCATACAGACTATAACAATTTGCGAGAGTGTTACACTAGAAAATAACTGTGACTGTTAAGCTGCACTACAAGTTCTTCCCATTTTAACAAAGCAGTATGCACTATTAAACAAAAAACTGCATCACATCACTAGATCTATTTTTACAAAGTTTATTCTCTTGTGCTACTTATAAAGTGTGACAGTAGACACTAGACATTACATGTTTTTATTTTCACATGCTGATAATTTTGTTGATTGTGGTTAGCAAATGAATCCAGGACACGCGTTTCGTTCCACTCGGGACTCGTCAGCTGGATGTACCTGTACCCCAGTGAGTGATTTTGTTCTAGATGAGACTCGAATCTCGTACCCATCAATTCAAACTCCTAGGCGTTATCCACTGTGCCACGAAGGAAAGATAGCCACTTTTTGTACAGCGGGTAATAGTTATTACTATTTATTGACATACTTGTAACTATCCGTTGTTGTGTTGGGTCGAATTGTTCGACCTCTAGAATAACAAGTACGTCAATGAATAGTAATAACTACTACCCGTTGTACAAGAAGCCGCTATCGTCCCCCTGTAGCATAGTGGATAATGCCTAGGCTTTTGAGATGGTTGGTAAGAGGTTCGAGTCTCAGTGGGAAAACACCACTCACTGGGGTGCAGGTACGTAAGGCTGACGAGTCCCGAATGGGACGAAACGAATCTGCTGGAATCTTCTGCTGGCCACAACCAAACAGATTTTTATAATTAACATTCGGGCGATATCGAGGCGTCCGCATAGGAGCCCACATGCCTATAGAGGTTGGACAATTCGTGCCAACAAAACAGCGGAGAATAACAAGTATATCAATAAATAGTAATTAAAATGCTGATTTCAGAAATAACTATGAAAACCTCGAAAACACGAACTGTCAGAACTTATAGCTCATTTCTTTTACCACTCTACGGATTATATTTCAAGCATTATTCTGAATTAGGCACTCATTTACCGGTGTATTTTCATCACGCATAAGTGGAGCTCTCTTTGTATTTACCATCGTTTGTCTCTGTGACTCAAATGAGAATATGGGTAATTATTGAAGTCCAGGCAGGCTAAGCAACACTATGCATAGGCTGTGAACTCACACTTTATCCTATTTTTGACCTCGAACACATTTAATAGACGAAATTCTATCTGCTGCCTAACAAGCTTGTTTGTCTGTAATGATTATTTGCTACTATTCATACCAAGTTTCATGCATTCAAGCCATTTGAATATTGGTCTTCAATATTTGAACCAACTTCAAACATAGCAACATGACATTGCTCATGCTTTCTTCAGGTCTTAATTTGTAGATTTTCATCCGTTTATTTGGTTGATATTATTTCACTTGCAATTTAAAATTATTCTAGTGAAGAGATTTTGAATAATGGGCAAGTGTACTAAACTAATTAAATAATCTTTTAGTCAAGTAAAAGTCACATAAATTGTCCACTTGCGTCCAAAAATTATTTGTAAGAATAGATATTAGAGATGTAGTCATCGTACTATAGACTTGGGGTTGTTTTTGCCATTATTAATTAATTAGGGTTTGGTAAATTTACTAGAACAATATTTCAATTTGTTCGAGCGTTACACTTATCCACTACTAATGTTATTTATTTGTCCCTTGGGTTCCTAGTGGAACATACGGCTTCAGTAGCACGTCTCCATTTCACTCCCTTCTCTGCAAACTTTTGAACCTGGCTCCACGACTGCCTAGAAGCTCTCATTTCTTCCTCACACCATCTCCTCCATGTCACTCTCGCCTCCGACGCCCAACTCGTCGTTTCCCATCTGAGTTCCACTCGCCAGCCTGGCATGGTGCGTGGTGTCTGTCCCCAGTCGGCCTTCTCAGTGTATGCTCAATCCAATCCATCTCCACTTGCTTCTACATATTTGTTGAGTGATAGGTTCTTGGTTGGTTCTTTGCATGCCAGAGTTCCTTGTTGCTTATTCCTATTATTCTGGCCATCTGATCTTCAGTAACGAGCGTCGATGGCAGTTGTTGATGGATGTCTGTAGTTTGTTGGAAATCCCTTTCGTAACGCACCAAGTTTCTGAACAATGTAGGAGCACTGACTTGACGTTGGTGTTGAAAATCCGGATCTTGTTCCACATGCTGAGTGAAGTGCAGTAGATCTCCACACTGGTTTCAGGTTAATGAACACCTGTCTTGCTGTGTTTTCGATACTGGCTGGCTTTGACGCTCTCGTCTGTGCCACCGCCTGTAGTTGAAACAGTGCTGCCTAGATGGGTGAGAGAGTCTACTTCCTTTAGGTTTCTCCCGTTGGTGGTGATTGGAGCTTTCTGTTGTTGTTGCTGGTGGCGTTGGTGTTGGTGTTGGTTGGGTATCTTCATCACCTCTGTCTTCTCCACGTCCACTAGAAGTCCCGTCTTCGCTGCCCTGCCTCACCTCTTCTGTCAACTTGTTAGTTTACACCTGTAGACCTTCAAGTTTGTGTGACATCAGACACAAGTTATTGGCGAAATCTAAATCTTCTTCTGCGGTCTTTTCATCGGTCCAGCCAGCGTATGTCCATCTTCTCGCTCCTCACAGCTTGTTGCATGATCCAGTCCACTACAATCAGGAATATCATGGGTGATGGTAGATAGCCTTGTTTTACTCCTGTCTTCACTTCGAAGGCATCACCGAGCTTCCCACTGTGAATTACTTGGCATGTGGCGTCTTCATATAGTTGTTGAATGAGGTTGATAAAGGTTTGTGGAATTGCGTAGTGTTGGAGCAGTTGCCTGCCAAATTACTTGTCGGTTGACGCTGTCGAAGGCCTTTTCAAGTCGATGAAGTTGAGGTAGAGAGTTGACTGCCATTCAGTGCTCTGTTCTATGATGACGAGAAGCGTTGCAATTTGAACCGCACATGATTTGTACTTCCTGAATCCAGCGCATTCTTTAGTCTCTCCAGGATGATGCGGCTTAATATTTGGCTTGCTGTGGGTGGACAGGGACAGGAGCGTGATTCCGTGCCAGTTCTTGCAAACACTCAGGTCTTCTTTCTTCGGGAGTTTGACAAGGTAGCCCTTCTTCCAATCAACCGTCAGGTACCTTCCCTTCCTCCCAGACCTTCTACACTAGTGGTGTGAGTGTGTCCGCTGTTGTCTCTGCGTCTGCTCTCAGTGCTCCTGGCGGAATTCCATCTGGTCCTGCTGCTTTCCCGCATCTCAGTAGCTTTACAGCCCTCAGGACTTCGACTTTCGTCGGA